TCCTTGCCTAGAACACCCTAACTGGTCCTGAGCTCACTGGTCTCTGACACAGTTTCCTGCTTACAAAACTTCTTTCTTCTTTCTCCTCTCCTCTATTAAAACTCTTTTGTTTGCTTAATAAATGGCTGTTCATTCACTCAAATAATATTTATTTAATGCATCCTCCTATGTACTAGAAACTATTCTAGGAGCTGGGGATGTAGCAGTGAACTAAACACACAAAATTTCTGTCCTCATGGAACATACACTCTAGAGGAAGGAACAGAAAACCAAACAGATAAATATATTCTTTGATATCTGTAACGATGAATGGTCTGTAGAAAAATAAATGATGAATAATGGGATAGAGAAAGGAGTATGTGCTATTTGAGGTGTGGAAGTGAGGGAAAAGCCTGGCATTGGGGGGCAGGAACCATAATGAAGGAAGGGAGGGAACAGACCCTGCATATATTTGGAGGAAAACTATTCCAGGCAGAGGAAAGGGCACGCACAAAGGTGCTGCAGCAGAGTGGCAAGGAAGCCTGCAGGACGGGAACATAGATAATGAGTGAAATTAAGCAGAAATGAGGTCAGAGAGAAACCAGTCTGTAAGACATTGTAGACCGAGATAAGATAAGATAGGGAAAGGAAAGGACAGAAAAGAAAAGGAATTTAGACTTGATTCTCTTTGTTGAGAAGACCTGGGGAGAGAGAGTAGGTGAGGGTTGTGAACTGATTTGTGATGAAAAGGATCACTCATGTTGCTGTGCAGGGAATGAACCCTGGGAGAGGCAAAAGTAGCAACTAGGAGACCAGGTAGAAAGTTGTTGGAGGAGAATGGAGAGTTTCACCTTGAGGATGTTAACTTTGTGACGTCCTGTAAACATACAATAAAGCTTTTGCATAGGACTTAGATATATTCATCTGTGGTTCTGAAATCACACAACTCAGATAGGACTTCAACCCACGGACCTGGACTCGAACCCAGTCAAAATTCAGGTTGGGACTTGAACCCACTGTCTTTTAATTGAGGTCACACAGCTGATCCCAGGACTTAAGGAAGCTCATGTTCTTTATGTCTCATCGCGGAAAGAATTCAGTGAGAGGCAAAGTGATAGGTAAGAAGTGGATTTATTTAGAGAGATACACATTCCATAGACAGAACGAGGTCCATTTCAAAAGGTGAGAACGGCCTTGGGAGAAACACACTACAGAGACAGAAGTGAGCCATCTCGGAAGGCTCAGAGGCCCCCAAATATGGAGTGGTTAGTTTTTACGGGCTGGATAATTGCATAGTCTAATGACTGGGAGGATTATTCCAACTATTTTGGAGAAGGGTTAGAGATTTCCAGGAACTGGGCCACCACCCACCTTTTGAGCTTTTATGGTTGGCCTCAGAACTGTCGTGGTGCTGGTGGTGTGTCATTTAGCATATGCTAATGTATTACAGTGAGCGTATGATGAGACTCAAAGTCCACTGGAAGTCAGATCTTCTGCCACCTCGGACCTAGTTGGTTCTAACCAGTTTTTGTCATGCCCTATGGCTATGTCATTCTTTTAAAGGTCGTACCCCGACCCCTTCCCTCCTGTGTCAGTTCCAGGGAGAAGTCAAGGCGAAAGACATGCATTCAGGAGTCACCAGTGTGCAGATAGAATTTAAAACCACGAGGATGAGACCACCTAGGGAGTGAGATGGATGGAGAGGAGAGGAGGCTGGAGGTCAAAGCACTGGGATTTTGCAGAATTTAGAAGTTGGCAAAAGGAAGAGGTCCAGGCAAAGGTGACTAAGAAGGAATAGTAATGAGCTAGGAGGAAATCCAATAAAAAGTGAGAGAAAGGCAATAAAGAAAATTTCAAGGAGAGTGTAAGCAGCTGTTTGATGATTAGGCTTGACCATGTAAAGGTCATTGAAGACCCAGACAAGGTCAGTGTCAGTGCAGTGAGGGCACATAAACGTGATTGTCATGAGTTCAAGAGAGAATGAGAAGTAAGGGAGCAAACACTCTAAAAGTACTTGAGGAGTTTGATGTTAAGGTGGGACGTAGGAATGAGGCAGTAACAGAGGGGTATTTTTTTAAGATGGAAAATATTTTAGCATGTATGCATGCCGATGAGAATAATTTGAAGGGAATGAAAGACTGACTTGCAAGAAAAGGAGCACATTAGTCATCTGGGATGGGGGAGGCGTTGGAGGACCCAGGTGAGCTGGCAGGGTAGCTGGACAGATCTAAGGACCCACTTGAGGCTAGGTTCATGATTTGGTGTGAGACCAGTTAGTGTGTGTTAATGTCTTTCTCCAGCCACATTCAGCTACTTGGGTGCAGAGGCAGTTTAGGTGAAGGGTTAGATTTGAACAGGTTAAGCTTTAGCTACATGGATATAACAAAGCAGGGAGGTGAGAAACTATAACAATGGACCATGGAATCCCAACTGGATAAACAGAGAAGAGAGGGCATGAGTGGCGCCGTGGAAATTAAAAAGCCGGCAAGGGTCAGTCACTTGGAGATACTGGCCGTTGTACAAACCCAGGACAATGTCTTTTTTTTCCAAAATACTCTAAAATGTGAATGACTGGTGAATAGCTTATAAAGATAACCTTCCATGCATTTAATGACAAAATAGATACTTCTTAACACAAAGAAATTAATTTCTAACGGGCAAATTCTAGGGGCATTTGACAGAATAATGGGAGAATATTGAAGGAAAGAGCCTCAATAATATAAGTTAAGGACTTCCCCATTTGACCTAACTGCATGGGGTCCAGAATACGTGGTGACCCACTGCTTTCTCTGTATCAAAAGTGAGTTATTCATCAACCAGAAGTCTAACGAGATGAAGCGGAGATCCACTTGATCTTGAAAGATCAAGACGTGTTATATAAATAATACAGGACTGGAATTTATATTACAGACTTCTTTATTCCAGAAGAAGGAACATGAGGGGAAGGTGGACTGTCTTAATAATTGACTTCAGTCACCATTTAGCAGCCGTATTGAGTTCTGTGGAGATATAGAGATAGATAGATATTCTCTGTCTTTAAGGAATTTATAAATCCTAGGTGTACAGGTACTGAACGTGAGTGAACATGAATAATGATAGGATATATATAAGAAATACCAAAAATGTTAATGAAAATGCTGACAATAGGAATGGATAGATCAGGACTGAAAAATCAATAGATTTACTAGTATAGTCATTACTGAGAAACTAATATAGTTGCTCCCAGGAAATAAAATCCATTATGTATTGTGGCAGAGACAGCTAGATGCCCGATTCAATATACATTCTTCCCTTCCTCCTTAGTAACAGACCCCTGATTTTCATCTGGGCATACTGCTGGCAAAAAGAAAAGATCATTTCCTAGCCTCCCGTATAATTAGTGTGGTCTTGCTGTTAAATTCGTGCCGTAAGACGTAATTAGAAACACACGGACTTCCAGAAAGTTACAATACAAAGGAAGGAGGCATGCCCTTCTGTCATTCTCCTTTCCTGGACTGTGGATATGACGGCTGGAACTTAAGAATCATCTTGGGTCATAATATGACATGGTAGAGATGGCAGAGCAGTAAGAGAGGAGGTCAGATCTTTGGGGAACTGGTCTGTGGAGCAACCATAACAACCATTGCTGTTAAGAGCTGCCCAACCTGATCGTAACACGCACACACATTCATCACTGTAGATACCACAGTCTCAGGTATAGTATTTTACACATACTGGTCACTCAGTAAATATTTGATGAATAAATACAATTATTTGTGATGGGGGTTTTGCTTCTGAAAGTGCTGTTGTAGTGGAAACTCTAATGATGTTTCCCCAAATATAGCAGTTTTTTCTTCTATTGCCTTTAACTAGAGGAGCCTCTGAAAGTGACACATATATATATATTTATATATATATATATATATATATATATATACAGTTTATACAGTTACAAGCAAATATAAGACAGGATATAAATTTTATTCACAAATATTTGCTCTTAAAAATTGCCCTATGTATTAGTTATTGCTGTGCGACAAATCACCCAAATACTCATTGGCTGAGAACAATAATCATTTATCCTGTTTTTGCTTCTGCGGCCTGGCTGGGGTTCAGCCGGCCTAAGTTTGGCTCAGCTGGGCAGCTCTGCATCTCACTGCAGGGCTACAGACTGGCCGGATCAGCTCTGCTCAGAGCGTCTCTCATTCTTGGGCAAGTGGGCTACCCACGCACTTCTTCACATGATGACGGCAGAAGCACAAGAAAAGGAGACGCTCAAGGATCTTCTAGGCCTCGACTTGAACTGGCGCATAGTCACTGCAGTGTCCATGCCATTGGCCAAAGCAAGTCACATGCTCTCGTAGACTCAATATGGCCGTAACCTATTTTCGCCTCCTCCCATCAAGAGGTAGTTTATTTCCCAGACATATTCTTTACCTCTTGAAGATGGGCTTGTGACTTGCTTTGACCAGTAGGGTGTGATAGAAGTGAAGTTTTGTGACTCAGTGAGCCCTAGCCTAAAACGGCCTTGTATTTCCACCCTCACCCTCTTGGGATGCTGTGGTCACCACATGAGGATGAGGAAACCCAACTCAGTTGAGCCTCTTCGTGGATGAAAGCCCACGTGGAGAGAGGCCTGGCCATCCCAGCTGTCCTAGCTCAGCCCCCAAGCTGCCTATTTAGCTGAATGTAACTTCACGAATGAGCCCAGGTCGGAACAGCAACAGAACCCCCGTCCAAACCGTAGAATTGTGACATAGCTATTTTAAGCCACTAAGTTTGGGAAGGGTTTGGTATGCAACAATCGATAAATAACACTTATACCTAAGACCAAAGTCAAGCGACAGGGAAGTATAGTCTGCATCAAGTAAGTGTGTGGGTACAGGGAGGGGTAAAGAATTGAGACCAACAAATCAATCCACTATGGTGGATAATATCTGACTTTTAACTATTTTAAATATAGTTTGACCTTTAGTTGTTAGTGGCTTCCGACATTTTGAATCTGGTTTCTTGCTCCCCAACCTATTCTGTCTTCATGCTAGTTTATCTCCAATTCTTCCCTTCCTATACTCACATGCTACTGCCCAGTCATGAGATGGAGTCTATTTCTGCACACCCTTGAATCTGGGCTGGCCTGGGACTGCTTTGACCAATAAAATACAGAGAAGAAACTGTCTCAACTCCTAGGCTTTTAGAGGCCCGGCAGCTTCCATGTCCTGCCTCCTTGTAAGAAGTACAACTGCCGAGGCAACTCAGCTGAGAGAAGGCAAGTTTTTGACGTTTGTTGCAGACAGATGATCCCTTACACATATGTTTTGTAAGGTCTGGTTTGCATATTCAAATTTTTAAGATGACAGACACCACATTTTGTTTATTCCCTCATCAGGTGATAGACATTTAGGTGGTTTCCACTTTGGGGGAATTATGAATAATGCTGCTGTGTAAACATTCACGTGCAGGTTTTTGTGTGGACACGTTTTCATTATTCTGCATATGAGTGAAGTTGCTAGGCCATATGGTAGCTACATACCTTTGAATCTCTTTTCCTAAAGGAATACATTTTTTAAAACTCTGAATCTGTGACAGAATTTAGAGGGCCAGACATCCTTGGAAAATGCAAGTGAACTTTTTAAAATACAGCGTGTTGGAGAGGAATTACAAATATAGCATAACATGGTTAAAAAGCTCAGGCTGATCATGTACAGCATAAAATAAAACAGGAAGGAAGCCAGGAATATAAAGTGTGTGTGTTAATATAAATGACGTCGTATACTTATTCCTGGCTCCCGATCTGAGCCCATCTTCCCCTCTCCCCAGGGCAGCTCCGTTCTGCCACCCTGGCCCTCCCCAGGAGACAGCTCAACGGACCACTCTCTCGCCTCGTCAGCTGTCTGATCACTCAGCAGTGTATTAGAGGGGCCTTCCTTGATCACCTACCTAAAATACCTGTCCCTCACCGTCTATCCCCTTGCCGATCCCCACATTCAGAGCATTTATCAGCACCTCAGATGTTTACTCGTTCATTCATTTATTTGTGTCTGTCACTCCCCAGACTGTGAGCTCTGTGAGAAGTGGCTATTCCTTTAAATTGTGATATCCCCCACATCAAAACAGAGCCCACTGCTCAAAGTATATTTATTAAATGAATGGGTGAATGAATGAATGAATAAATCCTTCCATTCCTTGCAAAGCCTTTTTTTCTTTTAAAAAAATTTTTATTGAAATATAGTTGATTTACACTGTTGTGTTAGTTTCAGATGTACAACAAAGTGATTCAATTATACATATATATATATGTGTATATATATATATTCTTTTCTTTACATCATCTTCCATTATAACTTATTACAAGATATTGAGTAGAGTTCCCTGTGCTATACAGCAGGTCCTTGTTGGTTATCTATTTTATGTATAGTAATGTGTACCTTTTAATCCCAAACTCCTAATTTATCCCTCCCCCGACCTTTCCCCTTTGGTAATCAAAAGTTTGTTTTCAAAGTCTGTGAGTTGATTTCTCTTTTGTAAGTAAGTTCATTTGTATCATTTTTTTAGATTCCACATACAAGCGATATCATATGATATTTGTCTTTCTCTGTCTGACGTACTTCACTTAGTATGATAATCTCTGGGTCCATCCATGTTGTTACAAATGGCGTTACTTCATTCTTTTTTTATAGCTGAGTAGTATTCCATTGTGTATATATACCACATCTTCTTTATCCATTCATCTGTCAATGGACACTTAGGTTGCTTCCATGCCCTGGCTATTGTAAATACTGCTGCAGTGAACATTGTGGTACATGACTCTTTTTGAATTATGGTATTCTCAGGGTATATGCCCAGTAATGGGATTGCTGGGTCATATGGTAGTTCTATTTTTAGTTTTTTAAGGAACCTCCTTACTGTTCTCCACAGTGGCTGTATCAATTTACATTCCCACCAACAGTGCAGGAGGGTTCCCTTTCCTCCCCACCCTCTCCAGCATTTATTGTTTGTAGACTTTTTGATATGGCCATTCTGACTGGTGTGAGGTGATACCTCATTGTAGTTTTGAGTTGCATTTCTCTAATAGTTAACAATGTTGAGCATCTTTTCCTGTGCCTTTTGGCCGTCTGTATGTCTACCTTGCAAAGCCTTTGCTGCATCGAGGACTGTCCTGTGGGAAACTGCATCAAACAAACACCATGTGAAGTTGGCCACCATCAGAAAATGCCAAGGGCCGTTAGTCAGTTCACATGTGAGTCGTGGAAGCAGAAAAGAAAACAGAACATAAAATTAACCTAAATACTCCTGTTCTCACTTCATGACATGGTTTCTGCTGCCTTCCTCTTCAGCAATTTTGGCCTTTTATACCTTTCAGTGTTTGCTGTTGTTTACGTCACACCTGTGTGGCACAGAACAGTAGGGCTGATTAAAAACACCTGAGATGGGCAGAAGCCGTAATTACTGGTGCAGATAGAGCTCAGCCTCATTATCTCTACAAGAGTCCTTTTAAAAGTCCTAAGTCCCTGAGGGCAAGGGTCCACCCTGCTTTCCCCTCCATATTTGCTTCAGCTGACCACTGGTGTCGTTGATCTGCTTTTAAAGTCCTTCCTTTCACCTCTCTTCATTTCTTTCACATTTGTCCCCGCTTTTTCCGTCTTCTGCTCCTGTTTAAACTCAAAGACTAGTGTAGACAGCTGTACCGGGAGAGGCCTGTACTTTTGTGTCGCTTAATATTTTCTGCCACATCTTTTAGTTACTTCCTTATCTCAGTTCAGTTATATTGAACAAATGTTTGTGGAGTAGCTACTGTGCAGGACGCTTGCTAAGCCTTGGAGACACCGAAATTATCAAACAATTCCTGCTTCTGCTATTTCGCAGTTTTAAGAGTCTGCAGTCCATTCATTTGTGTTAGGATTGTAAGCTTCTTGAAGGGCTCAGAATAGCTTACACATAGGTAATGTTTATTAGTGTGGGAAATGAATTAAACTGAATTGATAACCAACCTGGAATTTGATTTCTTTCTTTTACTCCTCTTCCATCCAATCTATGTCGACCTGTGACACAAAAATAAACACATATTGGGTCTTTGTCCCCAGTTCCTGACACAGAGCTCCTAAATCCCTTGGAATTTCCTGAGTGAGAGGAACGTCTTCTGTTCTAATGAGGTGGCTCTTGCTGGGCCTCTAGATAGCTTCACGATGGGGGCTGGTTGCCAGAAAGGCCAAGACTTGATTAGAGGTTTACAACTTTGAGTCCTACTTCCAACCTCCAGGGAGGGGAGAGGGGCTGGAGATGGAGCTCATCACCAATGACCATGACTTAATCAGTCATACCTGCATAATGAAACTTCCACGAACACCCCTAAACGATGAGGTCCCGGGAGCTTCTGGGTCGGTGAACACATGGAGGTGCTGGGAGGGTGGCATAATCCAGAGAGGGCGAAAAGCTCTGCACTCCATGCCCCCTGGCTTACGCTATGCACCTCTTCTATTCGCCTATTCCTGAGTTGTATCCTTATAATAAATCAATAGCAGTAACTAAACTACTTTCCTGGGTTCCAGGAGCCATTCTAACAAATTACCAAACCTGGGAGGGTGGGTCATGGGAACTTTGATTTCTAGCTGGTGGGTTAGGAGTGACAACCTGTGCAGGTGACAACCTGAAGTGAGACTGCACTTACACCAGGTAATTATTAGCATCAGAATTGAATTGAAGTGTGGGACACCTGTTTGGTGTCCAGAGAGTCGGAGAATTGGTTGGTGTGGGGGAAAAAAAGCCCTCACATTCGGTGTCAGAAGTATTGTGAGAACAAACTCTTGGGTATATATACCTAGGAACTGCTGGATCTTTTGCATTCAGAATATATAAAGAACTCTTGCAACTCAGTAATAAGAAGACAACCCAATTTAAAAGTGGGCAAAAGATCTGAATATGTATTTCTCCAAAGAAGATATACAAATAGTCCACAAGCACATGAAAAGATGCCCAACGTCATTAGTCATTAGGGAAATGCAAATCAAAGCCACAATAAAATGCTACTTCCCACCCATGAGGATGGTTATAATAAAAAAAGATAACAATAATAATTATAATTGTTATAATAATAAAAGATAATAACAAGTATTATAGACAAGGATGTGGAGAACTTTGAACCTTCGTACATTGCTGGTGAGAATATAAAATTGTGCAGCTACTGTGGAAGGCAATATGGCAATTTCTAGAAGTGTCAGACATGGAGTTACCACTTGACCCGGCAGTTCCTAGTATATACCCAAGAGAAATTAAGACACAGACACAGAAAAAAAAAAAAAAAGAACCAACCACACAAAAGTATGTGCAGGCATGTACGTAGAAGCATTTTTCATAATAGCCAAAAAGCGGGGATAACCCAAGTGTCCATCAGCTGATGAGTAGATAAAGAAAATGTGGTACATCCGTACAATGGGGGTGTTATTTAGCAGTAAAAAGTAATGAAGTACGGATACATGCTATGACACAGATGAACCTCGAAAACATTATGCTTAGTGAAAGAAGCCAGTCTCAAAATACTACATATTGTGTGATTCCATTTATATGAAATGTCCAGAAGAGGCAAATCTGTATAGACAAGTAGCCTCATGGTTGCTAAGCTGAGGGCTGTGAGAGTTTGGGGGAGCAATGGAGAATGGATGCTAATGGGTACAGGGTTTCTTTGGGGTGATAAAAGTGCTCTAAAAGTGACGGTGGTGATGGTTGCACAACTCTGAATCGTGCCCTTTAAATGGACGAATTATGTGGTATGTGAATTATATCGCAATCAGGCTGTTCAAAAACTGGTGTCGGCCTCCCCCCGGGAACAGCACAAGGTATGCACCTGAAATGGCACGTTCGATCTGACCCTTCTCAGTTCACGGACTTTACCATGGGTTAGTCACTTAATATAAACAAGAATCACTAGTAGTCAGAGAAATGCAAACTGAAACATTCACAAGGATATCACTTCACACCTTTCAGGCTGACAAAAAATCAGAAATGTGGATCCTGTCAAGGGTTGGAAGAGATGTGGGAAAAGAGGAACATACCCTCCTCCTCTGCTGGGGGGCATCTAACCTAGTGCAGCCATTCTGGAGAAATAATCTGTCATAATTTAGTCTTGTGAAGAAGACACGTATTCTGTGGCCCAGCAATTCTGCTCCTGGTATATATTCCAAAGAAATTTTCACACGGGTCTGTGTGGGAACATGTGTGACGATGTTCCTGGCATCACAGCCCAGGGTGAAAGGGGTTGGAGTCTATGTGGGTGCTCATTCCTGGGTGAGTAGACAGGTTAAATGTCATGCACATGCTGGAGTCTAATGGCTCTGTGAGTAGCATCAGGTTAGATGTGGGCAAAGCTGCATGGATGACTCTTAAATATATAGTGCTGAGTGGAAAAATATAAACACTGGATGGAGATATTTAATACTGTTTCCATACGATAAAAATGTGCACACAGGGAATTCACTGGCGGTCCAGTGGTTAGGTCTCCGTGCTTCCACTGCAGGGGGCACGGCCAATATCTGGTCGGGGAACTAAGATCCCACATGCCACACAGCCTGGTCAAAAAAAAAAGGTCAGAATTTATAGAGCTAGTAAAGATGAAAAAATATCCATCAGTAAGTCTGTAGGAGGGATTTCTGCCTTGGATAGGAGACTGTATCAGATGGCCTAGAGCTAGATAAGCCAAAACAATTCTATCAATAAGATAACAGAGGTTGCAAGATTATGGCTGAATCCTGAGGCAACCTAACTTCTTGACTATTTTAAGGGTCAGTAGCCAGGGGTGGTTCCTCCAAAACAGGATTTAAACCTTGGCTCTCTGAAATGGAAAATGGTTGGTTCTGCTCTAAACTGAGGTTAACCATTGATTCCACAATGGCTCTTGGTATGTCCCTCAGCTTTCCTACTAGCCCAGCTATGTACATGGTTTCCTTAAACTTTCCTTAAAACAAATGTACCCACAACCCCAGTTTTTGCATCAT